GGCACAGACGTGACCTCCACAGCTGAATAGAGGCTGCAAGAGACCGGAGGAGCTTCAGAGACAGTGATGGCAAATTGCAGTGAACCCCCCCCCCCCCCCCACCATCTCTCCCTCCCGAACCATCAATTATTTGTGTGAGAAAAGGGAAAACATGCAGGGGGGCTGGAGGAGACGACAGAGCAGCCCCCCTCCCTCATTTATTCCACGTTTGCTGCCTCTTCTCATGCCGCGGCAGTGTGAGGATAGGGAATTATGGGTGATTCTTCAAAGGGCTCCTGTGAGGGGGCATGTAACTCCGCCACTGAACACCGGGGGGCAGCCAGGAAGAGCAAGACCAATGGATTTTTTGGGTGGGGGTGGGGGGGAGTGGGCAAAATACCGTGTGCAGGAATATTAAAAAAGGCATGTCCGCGTTTCCCTGCATGATCGGGGGAGGAAATTATAGACTGCAAGTCGACAGGATATGCAAATGTTGGAAATAATGTCCCCCTTTTTTTTCCAGAGCAACCAGATGTCCCTGCATGCAGGCAGGAGCTTCAGACAGAACGACCAGCTGGGGCAGGAGCAGGGCTGTCTGGCGGAGACCTGGGCACATGCCAAGGAGCCCGGGCGGGGCAGGGAGTGGCAGAGAAGATCACAGGGAGGGTCCTGTGTGTCGGTGTGACTGGAGGAGGACTCTGGGGTCAGAGGTCTCTGCTTGGCCTTTTTTGGGGGAGGGGGATCTTCCCATCAACACCCATCACCCCCCCCGCTACACCTACAATGCTGCCTTAACAGACGCTGCCTCTTATCTCTGTGTCCAATCATCCAAAAGAGGGAGCTCAGGGCTACTGGGTGGAAGTGAGAAATGTCTATTTTTACAGCGACTGACCAACCCGGTCACAAACTGTATAAAAAACTATTTTACATTTCCCCATTTTAATTGTTTGCACAATAAGCGTACAGCATCCCAAAGCAGCTTTCTCATAGCCTGTACGAGCTCTGTCCCTTATGAGTGTCTGCCAGTGTGATTTCACTTGTTTCTACACACCTGGCACATTTCTGGAAAATAAAGGAGTGGGTGGGTGGGTGGCTGAATGGACGGAGAGTCCTCTCACATACCTTGCCTGTTCTCCTGAGTCACGCTGATCATGCTACCGTCCTCAGCTGTGCCCTGCTCCAAGTTGTCCAAAATCTGTTCGGAAGAAGCGCGGAGTCGAGTGTCATTCGGTGGGCCTCCCCCTCCCCCCTCTCCCCCTGTCGTGACTCGTCGATGAAACGCGAGAGGACGCTTCAATGCGGTCAGGTGTCACTCCCCCCTCTCCCCTCCCCCTCACCCCCGCCCTACCGCAAGCCCCTGCTCACCCGCTGGCACACTGTCTTCATGCTGTGCAGCCGGTCCAGCGACTCCTGCGGCTTGCCGAGGTACTGGGGAAGGTCGGCATGCAGGACCCGCATGGAAAAGGGCACCACGGAACCTGAGGGAGGCGGGGCCTCGTCAGAATGGTGCAGTATGGGAAAGAAGTATGGAGAACGAACCATTGATCGATATATCTATAGGACAGCATTAGATATTTATCTAAAGCTACTATATCTGCACAAATACTGAGGTGAGTTCTTTATAGAAGTTGTTCAGCTTTAATACCGCACTATAGGGGAGATTAGAAAGTTGATTTATCAGGTTACAGGTCTTTCTGCTCCTGCCACCTACTACTAAAGAAAACTTAAAGCAGTAGCTGAATGGGACTAGAACCCCCCCCACCACGGGGTTCAAATCCCATGGGCTCGATCCACCTGATCTCCACAGCAGGAGCCTCTCAGGCCAATCGGGGGCATTTTCGAAGGTCTGGCGAGTCATCATCCTTGACACCCGCCCCCTAGAATGGCAGGGGTGTGCCTTTCCACCGAAGCCGGGGGGGGACTGTGCTGAGGTTGGCCGTCTCCTCCACAGGGGCTGCAGAGCGGCTGTCAGTCCCGGTAGACGGAAGACTCCCCGCACACCCTCGCTGAGGGATTCTTTATTTCTTACTTTTAAAGACGTTATCTCTCCTCACCGACTCGCCCCTAAGCGGCGTGAAGAGCTGTACAGCACCCGCTTCGGCAAACACGTCCGTCACGCGGCGGGGCGCCTGACGAGCGGGGCAGGTATGGGTGAACCCCCCCCAGCATTGGTGCAGGTGCAGGCTGGGTCGCCGTGTTCTCGCCCGAGGCTCTGAGCTCCTCTGAATTCAGCTCCACGCCCCCCCGGCACAGCGAATGCTGCACTGATTAGCATGAGCGCCCCACGCCTCTCCAGCGGCTCCTGAGGAGGCCTCCCC